TTTAAAAAAAATGTTTTAAAGAAATTTTGACACACTTATTTTGAAACTGACTCACTAAAATATTTTAGACAGAGAAAAAATGATTTTTCAACTGACTCAAAAATAATTTTTATCCCTCAGAAATTAAATTGTTTTGTGCAAAAGATATTGTCATCCTTACAAGAATCCTAGACTCAATAAAAATTAAAAAGTCTTCGGAGTCTTCACATCACTTCAAAAAACTGCGTTGGGGGAGCGTTGATTTTTATCCCGTAACTTTCTTGATACGTCTTTTTTCTTTTCTCGGTATGAAAAGTAAATTTTCGATCAACGTTTGAATTTCATCATCCTGTTTGTCATTTATCAAAACAAGAAAATATTCCAGAAAAAATAATAAAGGGGTTTGAACTCATGTCCAACAATTTCCCCCTTTTTGATAATGACAAACATAGTTGAGAAAAAGCAAAGAAAAGAATACTTCCCTTAAATGATTCCCCGTGCAAGGTTAGAGAAGTGCAGCACAAATAATCGGAGTAATAAGCGGAAAAAACAATTTTGAAAAACAAGTTTTCTCAACGATCCTTCCTTCCCCCTTTTGGCATTATCAACCGACAACCTTCCCCCTTAATTTATGCCGGGATTTGAAGGAGAAAAAAAAATTGTAAGAGTTTTCAAAAAAAACTTCTAACATGAATTGCCACAAAGGGACAAAATATTCTAAAAGAGAACCATATTAGCAACAACATCATTCACCAAAAGAGTTATAACAACAATAGCAAATAACAATGTATCATAAAAAGTTAAGATAGAAGAGAAAATAATCAAAGAGAGTTCGCCGGACGAGCTCCTCCGCTGAAGCTGTGACGCGGGCCACGGTAGGAGCGAGATTGCTCAAGACGAGTCATCCTCTCGTTGAGCTGGCGAACGTCATCTCGGATGCACGTGNCAAATTTGACATCGTTCAACAGGACGTGAAACAAACGAATATCGTCCTTGTTGACGACGCCATGGTTCGAATCACGGGGCAACAAAACATATGAGAAAATGTATTGTTGGACGCGTTGAATTAAAGTGAGATTAACGACACTCGGGTTGCTAGAGTTTCTAAACTTGAGGTCACGATGATCTAACCCGAGTTGTCGCCATATTGCCTCATCTTGGAATGTTTCATCCAAGATTTCGGTAACTTCACCGCGACGAAGGCCAAACAAAGAAGTCAAACCGGCACCGTCAATGAAAACGGTTTTGCCGTCAACATAGGAAATGAGAGATGGAGAACCTCCCTTAGTGGTACAAAGATTTGCATAAAATTGACGTATAAGATTTGGACAGAAAAATTCATACGTCAAATGAATGAAATGAAGCAATCCTTGCTGAAAGAACATAGACTTACTCGGGGCATAGGTCGCCGATTTGAAGAGGTCCTTGTTCACGATCTTGGGAGAGACGATCTCCTTCGTGAGGAAGATGTTGTGGAACCTCTCGACTGAAGCTCCAGTGTTGAAGGCAAGACCCGTTTGAATGTGAATATACTTGCTCCCTTCACGACGCCATGGCCTCTCATTTTCCTCTGCCGTGGTTTCTTGACCCGAGGAAGCGTTCTTACACCTTGGCATTCTTCCTTTTTGTAATTGATGAAATTTGGTAAAAAATGGAACAAATTTGAGAAATTTCTGATGAAGTTTGAGCAAGGGTTTGAGATAGGGTTTCACAGCTTCTCTGTAAAACTGGGATGGCGATGAAGACGAAGGCACAGGCGGATTATAAAGAGAAGAAAAAATCGAATATTAATCTATTAAATAAAGGTATTTAATCGATTAAGGAACGCAGCCGAGGCAAAATCGATTATATGAAGAATTTTAATCGATTAAAAATTAAGACCAAACGTTTGCGTTGCAAGCTATTAATCGATTAAGCAAACGTGATTAATCGATTACGATGGACAGATGAGTCTAATCGATTAATGTAACCAAATTAAATGATTAAAGTGACCCAGAGCAAAAAGTTTCGGATTTTAATCGATTAACAGAAGTCAAGTAATCGATTAAGAGGGACAGAGGCGACTAATCGATTTTCTCTTCGAGGAGTAATCGATTAAAATTTGTTTGACAGAAAAAAATATCAAGTCCAATTAGGTTGAATACCAAGGCAAGAGATACCTACAATAAAAGCCCTGCAAAAAAGAATTTATCGCGCCTCCGACGCTCAAATTAGTATAGTCAAAAATTAGTGTGTCAAAAATGAATTAGTTCATAGAGATATCCAAAATGCCAAGTTCGTTCCGAATGTGGAAGAAACTCTCCCTACTAAGGGGTTTCGTGAAAATGTCGGCCAATTGATGTTTCGTTTCAACAAACTCAATTGTGACATCTCCCTTTTGGACGTGATCTCGTATGAAGTGAAGAACGGGGTTCGTCGATAGACTAATGGCGCTCATATTGTCACACCTAATTGGGATGTGATCAAGTATAAGGCCGAAATCCAATAGTTGTTGTTTTAGCCAAAGAATTTGGGCACAACAACTTCTCGCAGCGGCATATTCCGCTTCGGTGGTGGAAAGTGCAACACTAACCTGTTTCTTACTAAACCACGAGATTAACGAATGACCGAATAAGTGGCAAGTACCGCTGGTACTTTTCCTATCGAGTTTGCAACCTGCAAAATCCGAGTCGGAATAGCCAACAAGATGACATGTCGAACCTTTGGGATACCAAAGACCTACGTTCAACGTGCCCGCGAGATATCGCATTATCCTTTTGATCGCAACCAAGTGCGACTCTTTAGGAAAAGATTGATACCTAGCGCATATACAAACGGAGTACATGATATCCGGTCTACTCGCGGTAAGATAAAGTAAAGAGCCGATCATACCTCGGTAGCGTTTGATGTCCACCTCTTTACCTTTTTCATCCTTGTCGAGATAGCAAGAGGTGCTCATCGGTATGTCAATGGATTTGGATTTAGTAACATCGAATCTCTTAAGCAACTCCCTGCAATATTT